GGAAAGAGCCGGCACTGACGGACAGCGGTCGGGGCAGGGGGGAATTATCTGCATGGCATCCTTCTCACGGGCACCTGCATCAACAGCAGCAACACCCCTCCATCCCTCTCCTCCCCCCTGATCCCCGCCAGCTGCCTGTCCCCTCCTGCCTTATCGACACCTTCCAGGGCATGTTTGATGGCCGGTCCTCCGGCGTATCGAGCACTGGGGCAGGACCCATCTATCAAGCCTTTTCTCACTGCCAGGAAGGGGCAGGAAGCAGAAGATCTATAGATTTAATTAAACCCTGCGCCATCCATCCTCGTGTACACGACAGCTCCTCGTAACTCAGGGCCAGGCCAAGGAGCCAGCCCCCCGTGGTCTCATTAGCAGGGGCAAGGCTGGAGCACCAGGAGAGCTGTGTTTCTGCGGCGTGTCACCTCCACATCCCCTTTTTGGGAGGGTCACAGCACACTCCCAGCACCACCCCTCCCCACTGCAGCCCCTTGCCTCCTTCCTTACACCCAACAGAAGCTCTGGGGGGACTCAGAGGCTGAGACCTTCCCCCAAGATCTGATTTCCCAGGCTCTGGTTTCCATCCCGGGCTCTGCCTCCACCTCTCCCCGGCTGCACCAACGCGTGCGGCCCCCTCGAGAGCTCGCTTGCCGTGGCTGCGGGCGGACACGCCTGGCCCGTACCTGTGTACAGAGAGATGTAGGAGGAGTCGATCACTTCGAACTTCAAGCTGGGCAGGAAAACTCGCCACTAGGAAAAAATACAAGGAGACGGAGAATGAGCGGGAGGGCGGCAGGGGTTTGGGACGCAGCTGCCCCAGCCCAGGCACCCTGGGATGGGTCCTCCTCCCTCCCCAGCTCCCACAAACTCATCTGCACTGATCCCAGCCCCAACCCCGCAGGAGAGGACTGATCCTGCTCCAGACCCATCTCCTGCCTTCACCCCAGCGATCTGGGGTTAGCAGGTGTCCCCAGCGTGGGAAGAGAGAGGAGAAGGCTCCCGCAGGTGGGACACAGGCTGACGCCGCTGCCCTCTCGGACTGGCACAGCCCAGCCGTGGTCCTCTG